GGAGCGCACCGGGAGCGATGCCCGGGGAACCGGGAGTGCACCGGGAGCGGGGCAGGGAGCCGTGTCCCGGGGAACCGGGAGCGCACCGGGAGCGATGCCTGGAGAACCGGGAGAGGACCGGGAGCGGGGCAGGGAGCTGGGAGCTCACCTGGAGCGATACCTGGAGAACAGGGAGAGCACCGGGAGTGGCGTAGGGAGTGATGCCCGGGGAACCGGGAGCGCACCGGGAGCGCCCCGGGAGCGCGCACGGCGCACAGCTGAGCATCCCCGCGCTGTCCCGCAGGTTGCACCAAGTGCCAGGATCGCTGCACAAACGAGCAAAACGTCGTCCGAAATGGCAGCCGAGGTGAGGGGAGCTTGGCTTTGCTCCGGGTCCTTCTCTGCTCCGTTTGGAACGGGTGGGATCGGCATCCCTGGGAGGGTTCAGGAAAGCTGACCGTGTGGTCCTGAGGGACGTGGGTTAGGGGTGGTCCTGGCAGCGTTGAGCTCTCTCATCTTGGAGGTCTTTTCCAACCTTAATGATTCCGTGAGTGGTTTTCCTGCGTTTTCAATGAAAAAGGGCACAGCGAACGTCTTTGCTGCAATAAGCCACCGTCCCACCTCTGATCCCGGCAGCGAAGATGTACCTGGACACCTCTTCCCACCCCAGCCCTTCCTCCCAGCAGCACCATTCACTCCCTGTCCCCTCTACCCACCACGGGGTGTAAATATTTGGGGTTTTTTTCCCCATTTCCCCCCACCCCGCGGCAGTTCTTGCGGACAAGTCATAGCTCCCTCATTCCGAGCCTTCATCCTGCCCCCGCAGCTCCCTCCTGCCCTTCCCTGCGCCAATCCTTAGGGAGAAGCACCGCTGCTGCCGCGGTCTCTGCCCGCTGTCCATGGTTCCGCGCACCCGCCGAGCCCTTCTGGGGCTGCTTTGGGGTTTTCTCGTCCCTTTTCATCTCATTCGAGTATTTGTAACACTGAAAGGCACCCGGGCCTCCCTTTCTGCAACCTGCTCCTTTGCTGTTTTTATCCCAATTTTACGTGACAACGCCGTGGGCTCTAGAGCTGCTTCAAAGGGTGACTTCAGACACTTCACAGCGACAGGAGTGTTTTAGGGCATGTGGTTTGTGCTGGCCCACAGCTCCTTCTCAGCTGAATATTTTCTTCTAGTCTCCCTAAAAAAAGTGGGATTTTTTTTAGTATTTCAAGAATCAGAGAACAGTGAAAACTGTACCCCTGATTCCACTACTTTTTTTTTTTTTTTTTTTGGGTTAGGAGTCCCTCAAAGGGTCAGAGATCAGCAGCTGCCTTCAAAGAGAGTTCCATGCTGGTCTTGCACCACATGCCCTGATGCTTATTTTCAGAGAGTCCTGCAGAAGTCAAATATCTTGGAGGATCCCCAAGCCAGATCTGTAACCTCAATTCTAGTGAAAGGGAAATGCTCTAAATCCAAGGTTTGGCTTGTACAGACTGAATAAAACCATTCCTGAGATGCTCCTCAGTTTTACTTTGATAAAGATTTTTTGAGATTTTTCTTTGATTGAGATGGCCATGAACTGATTTTTAGGGGATATATCCATAAATCTGTGTCTCTTCATTTCTTGCAGGGGGACAAAATGATGGCAGGAAGGTTTGTGGGGAGCACAGATCCCATCATGGAGATGCTCAGCGCTTCCATTACTGTTGATCAGAGACTGTCTGAGGTGGACATCCAGGGAAGCATGGCTTATGCCAAAGCCTTGGAGAAGGCTGGAATCCTGTCCAAAACTGAGCTGGAGAAGATCCTGAGTGGCCTGGAAAAGGTATTTCTTCCCTTCACACACCTCTGTGTGTGCTGGAATGAATCTTTCCTTACCTGACAGCATCTTGCTGTTTTAAAGAGTGCCTGTAAATGTCCTCGTGTCCTCTTCAGACTGAGCAGTCACTAGGAATCATTTCAGTGTGAAGTAAGAACATCCTTTTCCTGCTGCCATGTGGAATTTTGAGTCTGGCTGTCCAGCTTGGCAGGAAGCAATGCATAGCAGGTGTAGGGGGGGAAGAGGAGGCAGCAGAGAAGTGCTTTTATAAAATAACCATTGTTGTTGTTCACTCGCCCTGGAGTCTGTGCAATGTTTTATAGCAAAAGCTTTGTGGAAGACGCTAAAGAAATCACTAACATTTAAGCTCAATTTTTCCTTCTAATGCTTAAATCCTCCATAACACTGCAGGATTATCACGGATGGGAAGGTGAATCCCACCAATAGTATGGAACATCAGGATGTAGTGAGCAGCCTGAATGCCAGAGTTTGCACGAGACTCCTGGAATGCCAGGAGCTGGGATTTGCTGGGGACACTCACAGCCCCAGACACAGCAGGCTAACTGTGATGTTTCTGCTGTTTGCAGATCTCTGAGGAATGGTCCAAAGGAGTCTTTGGTGTGATCCAAACCGATGAGGATATCCACACTGCCAACGAGCGCAGGCTGAAGGTTTGGCTCCTCCAGCCTCTTCTTCCTGATCCTCTGCCTGACATTAAGGGCTTGTCCCTCTGTCCCTCTGTGAAATCCCTTTGGAGCTGCTGGCACTCAACCCCCTGGGGCACAGCCAAGGGTCTCCACACCCGTTTTTGGGCTGTACAAGCACAGAACCCAAAGCTGCCCTTCCCCAGAACACATCCCATGGTTACTCACAGGATCCTTCCAGGCAGGGAGATGTGCTGATGTGGATTGTCTTGTTTAGAGCACAGAGATCCTGACAGAAATCCTGCTCTTGTCCTCAGGAGTTGATTGGAGACGTGGCTGGGAAGTTGCACACTGGCAGAAGCAGGAATGATCAGGTATGGACAGAATCTTTTCTTCTCCTTCTGTATTCCTCCTCTACCTCACTTCAGGAGACCTCAGCCCAGAGTGGTCTTTGGATCTCTTCCTGGAGAGCAAGAAATGCTGACATTACCACAGAAATGTGACCAAATGATGAGAAGAAGAGGCACATTCCCATCACATAGCACCAGGAGGGGTTTGCCTTGCTGTGACTGTATCTGTGACATTATTTGTGGCCTGAATGTGGCCAATCTCCCACAGGTTGTGACTGACCTGAAGCTGTTCATGAAGAATTCCCTCTCCATCATCTCCACGCACCTCTTGCAGCTCATTAAGACCCTGGTGGAACGTGCTGCCATGTGAGTCCTTTCCCACAGTCCCAATTTTCTATAACTTTGGCCTTTTTGGGGCAGGACAATCTTTGGTTTGTCCTTTGTCTGACCCCACTGGGCAGCAGCAGGGTCTCCTGTGCAGGGAGTTACAGCCAGGCAGTTTGGGGTAGCCCAGGGGACACAACAGCCCTTTTTTTTCAGAGTTCACTTCACAGAATTTCTCAACCCTCAGAGAAATTTTCCTTCATGCCTAGCAAAGGAGTTGAGACGGGAGGTCCACAAAATATTTTGTAAGGCACCAAATCCATCTGAAGGAGTAGACAAGATGTTTCAGGTTTTTCTGTAGGAGAAAAAACTCAGCTGTTTTACCTCCCTGTCTAGCTCTGCTCCTCACACTCCAGACCTGAGGTGGGCTGGGGAATCCTTGCCTGCCACAGAGGGGTTGCTGCTCCAGGCAACTTTCTAGGGAGACCCAGGGCAGATTCACTACTCTGGGATAGCTAAAAGCAGTGCGCTTGGCTTGGAGGCTGACAGGAGATGGACCACTTTCAGCACAACACAGGCTAAAGATGCTCAGTTTGTGACCTTGCCAGGAGCTCTGGTGTGTCACTGTCCCTGTTCCTGCCCTCCCTGCTCTCTGCTGCTCACCTCTCTGCCCTTTCCCTCCCAGAGAAATCGATGTGATCCTGCCTGGCTACACCCACCTGCAGAAAGCTCAGCCCATCCGATGGAGCCAGTTCTTGCTCAGGTGAGCTCCTCCCACCCTCTCCACCCTCGGGGCCCTGCTCTGCTGAGGGGACAGCCAGGGGTGGTGACAAACCAGAGGGAGCCCCACAAACTGGATCAGGAATTCCCAGTGTGCTCTGACCAGCTGGGAATCCAAGCATGGATTGGGAAGTCCCTGTTCCCCATCCTTTGGCCATTCTCACCTCCTGGAGTGGGAGATTTTCCAGCTTCATCTCCCTGTTTCATCTCTCCTGTCCTTCCCCAGCCACGCTGTTGCTCTGACCCGCAATTCTGAGCGCCTGGGAGAGGTGAAGAGGAGGATCAATGTCTTGCCTTTGGGAAGGTAAAGTTTATTTTTTATTGTGATCCTTAGCCCTCACTTTGCTCTGAGATAAAGACAAGAGGCAGATCTGTCCATCCCCTGAGCCACTGGGGCTTCTATTCCATGGACACCACAGCCCAGCTTGCCTCTCCAAAGACTCTCACCATAGAAATATTTTTCTATCCCTCCTTGAAAAGCAAGGATTACAAGGCTTCCTGTTTGGGAGAGAAAACCTGGTTTAGTCCAGAGTTAAGGGTTTGATGAACCTCAGACAACACTGTGAAATCCAAGTGAACTGGGGGAGGGAAATCTTCTGAGAGATGTCATCACTAGAGCTCAGTTTTGGTTGGATATCAGTTTGGATATCATGGCTGACTTCTGGTTCTTTCTCCCCTGGCAGTGGAGCTCTGGCTGGAAACCCCCTGGGAATCGATAGAGAGATGCTGTGCAGTGGTAAACGTCTCCCTGGGACTACTCATAATATCTGGGATTTTGGGCAGCATCAGCACATTCCCCGAATGTTATTTTGGATGCGCTAAAGCACTTGAACAAGGGGGTGGAGGGTAATGAATAGATGACAAGTTACCTCCTCTGGGTCAGCCTGGTGCATTCAGGCTCCTGTCAGGGCCAGTGTGAGCTCCTGTGTCCATCCCCTTCCTTGCAGAGCTGGACTTTGCTTCCATCAGCCTGAACAGCATGGATGCCGTCAGCGAGAGGGACTTTGTGGGTAAGCACAGCCAAAGCTTCCCAGCAGGGAGGGAAGCAGCTCCTGACACCTTTCCAGTCACTCTTCTTTAATATGGGGACTGAAATCCATCCCTAGGAAGTAAAACCTCACTCAGGGTTCCCTGGGCTGTCCAAGCACCTTTTCCTCTCCTGATTTCCTGCCTTCCCTGCAGTGGAATTCCTCTCTGCTGCCACCCTGCTGATGATCCACCTCAGCAAGATGGCTGAGGATCTCATCATCTACAGCACCAGCGAGTTTGGCTTCCTGACTCTCTCTGATGCCTACAGGTAGGTCTCAGCTCTGGGCAGCGAGCTCCTTCCTCAGCCTCTCCTCCTCAGCTCTCCTCGCTGGGTGAGGCAGTGGTTGGGGTCTGTCTGCACGAGGCTGACCCAGCATCAGGAGCCTGGCACAAAGGCAGCCTCAGGGTGAATATTCCTCAGCAATGGTCACTTATTTCTGATCCCCTTAACTCAAGCAATCTGTGTTTAGCCCAGCAACTCCTGTCCAGGACCTGCTGGCAGAGAGAACTTCCTCCTGTGCTGGGAATGCTGCCAGAGCCTTTGCATGGCTGGGTTTGTAATCCCAACAGACTCCTTGTCTGCAGGGTGGCACAGCCACAGCCTCCCTCACTGAAGTCACACTAACACTTGGTCTGACCTGCTGATATGACCCTGGAGGGGCAGCCCCCTTTTAAGTTTCTCTGTGAGAGGTGGGACTGTGTGGGAGCTCCAGACAAGGTGCAAAATCAAAGAGCAACCGTCAGTTCACCAATTTCCTACACCCTAAACAGGAGAACAGGGAAGAGGGTCCTACACATTGCTTTTGGAGGGCTGGATCAGTGATGATGTGTGTGTATGGATGAGGGTTTTGCTCATCAGTGCACTCCACTCATGTCCCACCCAGCACTGGCAGCAGCCTGATGCCTCAGAAGAAGAATCCCGACAGTCTGGAGCTGATCCGCAGCAAAGCCGGGCGAGTGTTTGGACGGGTGAGCCCCAAAAGGAAGGAGGAGGGAGAGGAGACTGCTCCTATTTGGGCTGGAAAATCTGCTTTTTCTTTGCCTTTTTTTCATAAAGAGCTGTGGGTTCTGGCCCTGCCCTGGGGCTGTGCTTTGCTCTGTTCCTCACTCCCTGCCTCTCCTGTTTCTCTCTGCAGTTGGCTGCAATTCTCATGGTCCTCAAAGGACTTCCGAGCACCTACAACAAGGACCTGCAGGTAAAGCCCTTGTTCCCCTCCACACCATCTCTGAGTAGACACAGTCATGCCCTGCCCTTGTGCTATCCCTGAATTGCATTCCTGTGCACAGCCCCTGGCTGTGTGCTGGGAAAGGGGCTGAGGGAGGGGATGCTGCAGGTGACACCCTGAGTGCCATGGCAGGAGGCTCTGGGATCACATCCCTGCTCTGCTGCCTGGGCTGCTCAGCCTGGGGGGTTTTTGGGCTGCACCAGACTGGCTCAGAGTCATTTCCATCGCTGTTCCAACACAGGAGGACAAGGAGGCTGTTTTTGATGTTGTAGACACCCTGAATGCTGTGCTCCAGGTTGCCACTGGAGTGATTTCCACCCTCCAGGTAAAGCTTCATCTTTTAAGTATTGAACATAGAGCACATTCTGTGAGTAACACAGGGGACAGGGCTCCAGACTGGTCCTAAAGTGAAAATTCTTCACTGCCTCACCCACTCTGTTCATTTTGGTCCCTCGTAGAGCTAATGTGTCCTGAAGAGGAGTTGATGATAGATAACATCTCCCTCTGCCTCTCCTTTCTGCAGATCAACAAGGAGAACATGGAGAAGGCACTGAGCCCTGAGATCCTGTCATCTGACCTGGCTCTCTACTTGGTTCATAAAGGAGTAAGTCCCAGAGGGAAAGCTGGAGCTGGGATTTCTTTGGATGCAGAACTACTCAGTGAGGAGGTGGGATGAGGCCCCAGGGTGATGAGCAGTCAACAACCATGAAAGCTGAAAACAAAACCTTTACATGCATATCAAGCAGTGCTACCTGGGGGACTTAATAGGAATTTACACCCAAATTAACATGATCATAATTTATTCCTAAATCCTTCCCTATTCCACCCCAGAACTGCCAGATTCAGCTTGCAATGCTTGACAGGGAAATATGCCAGCCAAAAAAGTAGCACATGCATTTTCCTCATGGAAAAGCAGCCCAGCTGCCTGGTCACTGACTGCCACCTCTGCTTCCCCCTGCAGATGCCCTTCAGACAAGCCCACATTGCTGCTGGCAAGGCCGTCCACCTCGCTGAGACCAAAGGCATCACCATCAACAATCTCAGCCTGGAGGACCTGAAGAGCATCAGGTTTGTGCCTCTGTTATTCCACTTCCCTGCACAGGCAGGGCTCAGCCTCCCTGACCTGCCTTCCCCAAAGCGCCTGGGCTGGGCTGCGCCTCAACATCCTCCTGTCCTGAATATCACTGCTGCTCCTGCTGGGGCTGAAACACTGCAGGGGGACAACATCACCTCCTGGTGATGGAATGGGCATGGGTGTGGGCAGGAGCTCTTGGGAGGGGCTGGAAGACACCTCTGCCCTGGGTGAGGGGTTTGGCTCTGAAGTTCCTCGGTGTCCCCTTGGAGCCAGCAGAAGCTCAGGAGCGTTTCCCATCAGGAAAAGGCTCCGTCCTCAGTCCCTCAGGCTCTCCACAGGCACTGGGCCCGTGGAGCAGCCCAGAGCCCCCTGACACCCCCCTGTGCCCCCAGCCCCCTGTTTGGCAGCGACGTGGCGCAGGTGTTCAGCGTGGTGAGCAGCGTGGAGCAGTACACGGCCGCGGGCGGCACGGCCAAGGGCAGCGTGTCCGCCCAGATCGAGCAGCTGCGGGAGCTGCTCAAGAGGCTCAAGGAGCAGGCTTAGAGTGTGGGGAGAGATGCCGTGCCTGCAGCGGTGTGCCTGTGCCACTGGGCTGGAGTTAATAAACACTGGGGTGTCTGTAGTTCACTGAAATCCTGCTCTGGTGTCTTGGTTCTTCAAGAGCTTACCCTCCCTCTTCTCCCCAATAAGCCACCAGTGCTTCTTTTGCCATTTCCAATAACTTTTAACCTTCACACTTCAGCAAGTGACTGAAAATAAATAGAAGTGAGCAGGCAGGCAATAAATAAACAAAAGTAAGCAAGCAGTAATAATAAACCTAAGGTGTGCTTAAGGGAGGTTTAGGTTGGACATCAGGAGGAGGAATTCCTTCCCAGAAAGGGTGACCAAATGTCAGAACCGGTTGTGCAGGGAGGTCAAATCACCATCCCTGGAAATATTTAAGGGAAGAGTGGACGTGGCACTCAGTGCCCTGCTCTGGGTGACAGGGAGGTGTTGGGTCACAGGTTGGACTTGGTAACCTCAGAGGTCTTTTGTGACCTAAATGATTCTGTGATAAATAAATAAATAAATAAATAGTGTAAATAAGCAAGCAAATTAATAAGTAAGTAAAAGTAGGTGATAAATACATTTAAACCCCTGAGTAATAAATAAGGAGGAGGGAGGGGAGGGGAGGGGAGGGGAGGGGAGGGGAGAGACCACTCGCCTCTCGATGGAATGCAGCGATCCAGGACAGAGCCTGAAAGGGACACTCGTGGCTTTGTCCGGAGGCGGCCGTGGAACAGGACCCGCTCCCTGTCGGGCTCTGCAGTCGCTCATCCCGGGGCGGGGACCCGATCGGGACCGGGAGCGTGACAGGGATCGGGATCGGGACTGTGACAGGGACCGGGACTGGGATCAGGATGGGGACCGGGACATGGATCGGGATCGGGACTGTGACAGGGATCGCGACAGGGATCGGGATCGGGACTGTGACAGGGATCGGGACTGGGATCAGGACTGGGAACATGACAGGGATCGGGACCGTGACAGGGATCGGGATCGGGACTGGGACAGGGATTGCGACAGGGATCGGGATCGGGATCGTGACAGGGATCGGGACCGGGACCGTGACAGGGGTCGGGACCGGGACCGTGACAGGGGTCGGTATCGGTATCGCGACAGGGGTCGGGACCGGGCTCCCCTCAGCCGGTCCCGCCCCGCCCTCAGCCGGTCCCGCCCCGCCCTCAGCCGGTCCCGCCCCGCCCTCAGCCGGTCCCGCCCCGCCCTCAGCCGGCCCCGCCCTCAGCCGGCCCCGCCCTCAGCCGGCCCCGCCCTCAGCCGGTCCCGCCCTCAGCCGGTCCCGCCCTCAGCCGGCCCCGCCCTCAGCCGGTCCCGCCCTCAGCCGGTCCCGCCCTCAGCCGGTCCCGCCCTCAGCCGGTCCCGCCCTCAGCCGGTCCCGCCCTCAGCC